CTTTAAAAAGTTCCTGTGCAGCAGATTTGCCCAGTGCAATACGTCGTCTGATCTCTTGACTGCTACTTCCGTGAGTGTTGATAGTTGATCCAAGAGATACCTTATGATCCAGCAATTCCTCTACTTGGTATTTACCCACAAGAAATACGAGCCATAACATGAGTAACTATATATGCACACACACTATTTACAATTGCAAAAAGATGGAGACAGCCAAAGTGCCCATCAATTGTAGAATGGATAAACTGTGGTACATACACACAATGGAATATTATGCTACCTTGAAGAATAACAAGGAAGCTGAAGCCACCGCACAACATGGATAAACCTTGAGGACATTATGCTGAGTGAAATTACACAGTCACAAAAGGAGAAATACTGCATAGAACCACTAAGACTAAGGAAAAGAACCCATACTCAAAGGGGGTGAAAACATTCTTTGCTGGTTACCTGGATGTGTGGGGTGGGGTGAGGGGAGGGATGGGAAAGTTGAGCACAGGGTAGGGAATAGACACAGGATAGCTTGAGTGCTGTTGGGTGGGGGGGGGGGGGGGGCCAATACCCAAGAAGGGGGAGGAAAATAGAAGAACAAGGCAGATGGGAGAACAGTTAGGCAGGTTTGCATGGGCTAAGTGGGACAGAGGTAAATAATGATGTTTGCACAACCTTGGAACACTAAGGGCCTCTGGCATATAGGGATGGAAGCATGGTTTGAATGGGTAAAAGAGGGGAAATAATGTTAAGATGCTTGGCTGTCTTTTGAATGTTGGTTTCCCTTGCATACCATTGTATAATAGACACTTGAAGGGGAGAGAAAGGAATAGCCAGAAACATCACCATAGAAAGCTTGTAAGTCCGTCTTCAGTCTATAACTGATTGGAATATCTAAAATGGGGCTAGAAGTTGCTTGGTGAAGGGGGCTTCCTGCGGAGCCTCTGCATTGCATAAGACCATAGGTGGAATCCTGATCCCCATTCAGAATTTTCTGAGGCAGGAAAGGACAAGCAGACCAGCCTGGAACAGCTAGAAGAACAGAAGATACTTCTTAAAAGAAAGACCGACAGGAAAAATTAAAAACAATAATGGCAGTCCGACTGATTACTATAAGAACAAGCAAGTTGCTCGCCCAGGAGACAACAAGGCAAGTTGGGTTCCCTCAGGGAAAACCCCCTTCCAAGACTAAGACTCAAGGGGAATACACAAGCAGGCATGTGCTTTGACTGGTGACCATGCTGGTCACCGACTGTTGTTCACACTGGTCACTGATAAGGGGAAGTGAGGGAAAAACAGCAAAGAAGTTGTGAGCTAAGTCTGACCACATTCAATAGACTCCTGTGAACCCGGGTGAAGACCTGGTTGGCCAACAGTATGGCAAGACCTGGGGGCTCCTGGGCCCATAGACAGTGACATGGCCACAGAGGACTAGAGCAGAGAGTGAAGCGTCCAGATGATGTGAAGTGAGGGGAGATGCAGAAGAACACCCACACTTGCAGATATTATCCACAAGACCTGGCTTCAATGGCTGGATGATCAGAACTCGACTAGAAAAAGAAAAAAGAGGTTAAAAAAAAAAAAGAGTAATCTAAACAATTTGATGAACTTGACCTATTCCTATGGATGCAGTAACTTAAAAGAGAGAACAAATCTTTACAGCGAGGATCATTCCCAAGACCTCGATACACAGGGTAGACAGTGGCTATCCAAAATGGGGTGGCTCTAAAAGCAAAAAGTGACTGGTTTACAAGGTTTCAAGAGGGAGCCTAGATCCAGAGGGCACAGGGAAGATAGTATCTCCACTGAGTGGTATCTAATCTGTCTGGATGGGACTTATGAAATGAGATGAGGATAGCACTCATGTGGTACAATAGTGAATAAATGTTATCAGGACTGACTATGAGTGTTGAAAATGTAAATGTAGGCGTTTTGTAGCAAAACGATGGGAGTGGTTGACTTTGCAGTCCAGGAGTGGAGGGCCCTGGGACCATCATGGGAGAAGAGCAGAGTACTGGACCCCTACCCAGAGAAGCAGTGATGCCAGAGATGGAGGCAGAGATGATGACGTGGAGAGATGGAGTGGCTGGGGATTCTAAACCCAGAGAGGGAGAGGGGATGTGTGCTGATAACCAAGGGGCTGGCTGGCGGGGTGTACTCTTTCATTGTTTGATGATGCATGGAGGGGATTGTAATCATGGCAATGAAACAATATACGATAGGATGAATATAAAGCTAACGTTCTCCCATGTAAACTATCACATAATTCACAATAAAAACTTAAAAAAAAAAAAATCAAACGACATATTGCATTAGGCAAATCTGCTGTACAAGATTTTAAAGTGCTCAAGAGCAAAGATTTCAATTTAAGGACTAAGATGCGTTTGAAGCAAGCCTCAGGTACATGAAAATTTGACAATAAATAAGAAAGACCACAGAAGAATTGATGCATTTGAGTTACGGTACTGGAAAAGAATGTTAAAAGTACAGTGAACTGCCAGAAGAACAAATGAGTGTGTTGGAAGCAGTACAACCAGAATGCTCCTTAGAAGCCAGAATGGGCAGACTTTATCTCTCATACTGCTCATACTGTGGACATATTGTCAGGAAAGACCAGTCCCTGGAGAAGGACATCATGCTTAGTAAAATGGAGGATGAGGGAAAAACAGGAAGACCTCCAAAGAGCTGGATTGACAACAGTGGCAGCATCAATGAGCTAAAGCATAACAATGATTGTGAGGTGGTGCAGGAGTGCGCAGTGTTTCATTCTGTTGGGCATAAGGTCACTGTGAGCTGAAGTAACTCGAAGGCACCTAACAACACAGGGTTTCCAAGGCTATAAAGCTTTATGGAGGCTGACTGCCTCATCTTACTCTCTGGGAGTGGCTGCTGGATCTAAATTGTCACCCTTTCAGTTAGCAGTCCAATGCTTACCCCACTGTACCACCAATGCTCTGACTTCTGATCTAGACTATCACAATCTCTTTGGCTATTTCCCCCCCCCCTTTAAAGAGTGTCCAGTTGCAAAGGGAGCACAGAACCAATCTGTCCACACAGCAGAATCAAATGACTATCTCAGTTAAAAGAAACAGAAACATCACATTTTAAGACTGATTTTATAAAATCATATTTTTTAAGTAGAGTTTGATTTTACAGCTATTAAACAATACTTTAAGACATATGATTTACTAATCAAATAATGTAGACATATATGAGGTAGTTCAAGCTCACCAGCTGCTCCTTGGAAACCCTATACAGGGTCCCTATGGGTCGGAGTCGACTCAATGGCACTTAACAACAACAACAACATATGAGAATAGAGGATTCTTACATTCTGGTTGTTTTTCATTTCATTGACAAAGGAAGAAAAGAGAAAATTATTATGAGAGGACTTAAAAGGTTGTGACAAATTCCATTATCTTTTAAATTCAGCTTTTCCATGAACTTTTTGAGCTCCCCCTCTGCCCCGCTTTATTTATTGGGTACTCCTCAAGCTCCTGGTACACGGATCGATTTCTTGGGATCTGTAGACAGGTTAGTTGTGTGAGGGGGCTTCAAAAACTTCATGAAAACTTCCATTTTCTCATTTAAAGCTTCCATGAATGTTTTGAAACCCCCTCATATATGAGAAAACACATTCCCTAGTTTACAGATATAAAAATTAAAAAGTAGTACACAACTTTTTAAAACATAAGTCTATCTGACTTTCATATTCACACATATTTTCCATCACACCAAATAACACAATGCTAGTTCAACAAACGGACTCCTGGTGTAGTGCTGTAGGATCAGCACTGGATTGCAAACCATAGGGTTGGCAGTTCAAACCTACCAGCTGCTGCTCAAAAACCCCATATAGGGTTGCTATGAGTCAGAATTGCCCCAACAGCACTTAACAAGTTTAAGAAATAACATATTCTATCACAAATTCAATAGTCAGTAACCTTCTGCATAGAAACTGCTTTAATTTTCAAGTTCAGTGATTGACCGTTTTTAATTCTTTCGTGTTTATCTTTAATCAGTGAACTAGCTAAGCCAAAGTAAATTATCCTTTAGTGTTTTCTGAATAATCTAGTTTATCAAAGTTAAGACATGTCTTCTAAACTGAAGTACATACTATAAAATTTTTCTGACAAACAGTTCAGAATACTTTCTAAGAATAACATAATTTACAAAGTTAATTTCCTAATTAGGATGAAAAAAAATTCTATGGAAATTTTAGTTTTCAATTCAACCTATTACTCTGAAGATTACAGGGTTATATTTCAGTGTAAATAAAAACGCTAAGCAAAGTACTACATGTCATTACCAGGATACATAGATACAACCGAGCCTTTAGGTACAAATCCTTTAGTAACGAAGACACCTTTTCCAGCCGAAATCAATGAGCTAGTTGCTCGGGCAACAACGAAACCCAAAGTCTTATAAATAACTTCTTCTGGTTTAAAGACACTTTGTTCTTGACGTCTGTTTTCAAGCAGTTTCACTCTTTGACGCTGAACTGCCAGTAAATCTTGATACTTCAATTTAACAGGTTCTGGAAGCACAGTCAAGATATCTGATTGTCTAGTGAAATCATTTAAGAACAGAGCCTGGAAAACTTTGAGTAATGGTCCTAGGACCTCTTCATCTGATATAACTTTGTCTTTTGATTCCTCTGGAACATATCGGAGGGTCCTGAAAATGGGAAAAGTTTCTATTCACTATGCTTTAACTGATAAAAGATTTTCTTTATATGTTGGGTTACTGACCTGAAAGAACTATTAGAGTAATCTCAGGTGATTGAAGTCAAAGAAGTTTGGAAAAGAATTGTGTTTCTAATTACCTAACTCCCAACAATACCCACAAGCTACTAACAGCCAATATTTTTGAAAAGCCCACTCTGTGATAAATGCTATTGGATCTTTACATATACCACATACTAGCTAATTTGTGCAGAAAAGATGTTAGGGAACTTGGAGAAGTCCTAAAGCTACTAAGGACCAGTCAGAAGGAGACCCAGGGCTCAGCTCTTTTTCCAATACACCCAGTTACCTGGATGTGAGCACAAAGACAGTAATCTCATTGCATGGGTTTTTTATAGGGTGTTATTTCAGTGAAAAATTTAAGAATGACATATGTTGTCATAGTCTCACCCAAGATAATTATTTAATGACTGCATCACTTTAATTTTTATAATTGTTATTTATTACTATAACTTCGACACAAAAACGGAAAAATTCCTGCTTCTAACTCCTAAATCCGCAGTATGAAACTTTGGGAAAGCTTGTCTGTCTTCAACGGAGACGTGTCCTCATACTTCTTCCAGATTAGTTACCAGTAATAACCCGCGGCAAACCCGGCTAGATCCCTTTCGTCTGTTGTTGTTGTGTGCCGTGAAGTCGGTTCCTACTCATAGCGACCCAGTACAGGGTTTCCGAGGCTGTAAATCTTTATAGGAGCAGAGAGCCTCATCGTTCTCCCGCAGAACAGCTGGTAGTTTCGAATTGCTGACCGTGAGATGAGCAACCTGATTCGTAACCACTACGCTACCAGAGCGCCTTATGGAGATGACTCTGGTATAAAAACCCAACACTCCGGTGTATGTTTAGTTGCTTTATTCTGGTTTTTATGTATGAAAACCAGATACAACTTTTTTTTTAAATGCATGAAAGCCATCAACCTCACAGCCGAACTGGATTGCTTTCGCCACATAAAATACTTTTACGGAAATGTGAAAATAAACTTCGGTCCTAACATATCTTAATGGGGAGAAGACCACACCGCTCATGAAGGACGAGTTTTCTTGTCTTTTAAATTTTTCTAAGCTCCGCCGAGATACTGGGTGGCGTCAAACGCCCTACCGGGTAAGATCAAGTGAAAAAGAAAATCGCAGGTAAATCGCAGGCACCAAAGGCGCGGGGACCTCTGGGAAATGGACCTCTAGGCCTCGCCCAATTAAGGCCCGCTTCAGAAGCTACCAGACTCGGGTCCCTCCCAACACAGCGCCCAACCAGTCACTTTTCCCGCCCAACACCAACTCAACCAGTTTTAGGCTCCGCCCACCACTGACCTCGCCTCGCGCCCCCGCCCACTGGAGGTCTCATTCTCCTGTGGCCCCGCCCACTTTTTCAACAGGCCGCTAGGCCGCCAAAGGCAATTCCCTGTGCGTGTCTCCCCTAGACCCGGGGCCACCACTCGGTCGCTTCCAGCTCCGACCAACTTCGCCCCCTCGAGTTCCATCCACATCAGGATCCGAGCCCCAAGGCGACCGACGGAGTGTCGAGAAACTAAAGGAACGCTCACCTGGGATTGTGGCTGAGGTTCAGCGCGATCCAGGGTACAAAGCGGTACTTGTAACGGCGCCACCGCTGCAGCAGGCCCCGCAGCAGGCGGCCCGGCATGGCTGTCCGGCGGCGCCCAGACGAGGACGGCGCCGAATTCGCGATTCGCAGTCTCGGGCCCGCCCTGCCGGGGTGGAGCGGAGACCGCGCTGTCCCGCCCTCCACGTCGCCGCCCTCAGAGTCCCAGCCCCGGCTCCTTTTGCCCGCCGCCGCTGTTCTTCCCTTTGCTTGACCTCATCTCCTTCAAGTCGAGGACCACAGAGCCAAAGGAAGCCGCCGTATTCCCTGTCTCTCTCTAGTCACTCGTGTATTTTCACACTTTAGACTCTCCCCAGTCACTCGTGTCACAAGGATTCAAAGGTCGTCCTGATTTTGAGGAACGAACGCATCATGAAGTTTCATCTAGTTTCTTTCATCCTCATGGCTTCCCCAGGCCTGGTTTCTATAAGCATCTAAATTCTGCACCATCCTCTGCAGAATTCTTCCTTCTTTTCCTAATCGTTTGCCTCTTTTCTCTTCTTGGTTGGCTGTCATCATACGCTCAGTCTTTCCAAGTAAGAATTTCAAGCCCACACTAAACATCAGGCCCTTCTACCAGAGTGAATCCGTGTCTCCAGAATTTAACTAATTCCGGGGCTTACAGATATAGATCGCAAATTCACTGCCATTGAGTAGATTCATACTCATAGCCACCCGATAGAACAGAATAGAACTGTCCTTTAAGAGTTTCCAAGACTAAATCTCTCTGGAAGCAGACTGCCTCAACTTTCTCTGAAAGAATGGCTAGTGGGTTCAAGCCACAGACCTTTCAGTTAACCCGCTAGAGCTTTAATTACAGCATCTTGCAAAGATGTATGTGTGTAAATAAACATATGCAATATTAAAACAAAACCACCACTCCTCTGTCAGTTTGTCGTATTGTGGTGGCTTCCGTGTTTCTGTGATTCTGGAAGCTGTGCCATGGGTATTTTAAATGCCATCAGGGTGACCCATGGTGGACTGGTTTCAACTGACCTTCCAGACAAAGACAGAATAGGAAGGAGAAGAGGTGGACTATTTTTGAATGTTTAGTCACTGAAAACATTATGAATCTCAATGAAACACTGGCAGCACCAGATTATTGAATATTGAAACATGATATGATGAAGTGCACCAGAATAGTTGTCATATATAGTGCAAAAAAGAGAGACGCTCAGGTTGAAGGCACTTAAAATACAAGAGCTGCCTCCTCAAAGTAGAGTTGACTGTGATGAAACAAATGGAGTACGCCTTCAGGACCTTCATTTGCTGATGAGACACAACTCAAAGTGAAGAGACAGCTGTGAGCATCCATCAATAATCAGAACATGGAATGCACTAAGTATGAATACAGAAAAGTTAAAATGATCAAAAATGAAATGGAGCAC